TTATATAAAAAAAAAACAAAGCTTAATTTACTTTTAAGTTCGTAATATCATAAAATGATTGAACAAAAAAAAACATTTAAATAATAAATGCTTCCAATGATAATAAAAGATAATATTTAATCGCGAAGAAAGGAAAAGGGATGTGTAACTTTTTTTGTTCAAATCGCACATATAGCATAATAGGTTAAATGTATACTTATTATAGATTCCTCTCCTAATTGTTTTGTACCTGCGTACGTTACTGCTTGGTTGTAGATTGTAGTTAAATTTTCTTTATTTTTCTTTGATAATCAAAGTATCAATAAAGAATTTTTTTTTCACTATTAATTATTAAGTGAAATTGTTATCGTCATTGGTCAAACTATTACTATTGTGTGATCGTGAATTCATTAACTGGCATAACTGGCATAGCTGGCAGGTCATAACTGGCTAAAAGTATTTATTGAACTATTAATTTTTTTTTTGTTTTATTTATGTTTAATTTCTGACTTTCTGACGGTAAATTGAAATGATGCAAACGTCAAGTCAGAGATTAAAGATATTATGATATATGCTATTATAACTATGATAACTATGATAATTATGATAACTATGATAATTATGATAATTATGATAACTATGATAATTATGATAATTATGATAATTATGATAACTATGATAATTATGATAACTATGATAATAATGATAGTAATGATAGTAAAGCATATATATAATTTATGGCGAATGGAATTATTTTCCGATTCATTAAAATTTAAAAATTCAAGAAGAATTCAATGTTAGTCTTTTCTTTCTTTCTTTTAAAAATTTTTTTTTTCTAAAAAAATATATATACGTATACTGTATATATACATAAATATATATATGTATATATAACGTAAATATATATATATATATAACATAAATATATAAATATATATACGTATATAAATATATAAATATACGTATATAAATATATAAATATATATATATGTATATATATATTATATGTATACACAATATATATCAATTTCATATACTGTACGACGTGTAGGGTTTCAAATGACGTGTACGATTTGAAACGACGTGTATGATTTGAAAAAGTTAGCCAAGAAATTCATTAAATGATTCATTCAATTTCATAACCAGTTTACCTTAATTCTTTAGACATTTTTTTTTTAAAAAATGATTTAAATGCGCATTTTCTGCCCGAAATTTTTTGAAAAAATTGTTTATTAAAATGGTTAGTACCAGAAAGTTTGCACCGCCACAATTCACAGTTGATCTATTCCATGCGTGATAATAAATATATCATTCTGTATATATTGTTATAGTATGTAAATAAATAAATAACGATAAATAAATAAAGAATAAAAAGGTTATATCACATTTAACATCATTTAATATAATTTAATATCACATTTATATTCTATCAATATCAATATTACATAATCACCTGATATTGGTGTACAAAAATTGATATAAATACTTAAAAGGTCTCGCGTCTTAACAAAAAGAGAGAAAAGTGTTTTCTTCACCCCGTATTCCGAACAAATGCATTCCTACGTAGAACCATATTATCGTCCAATGGATGAGTCACTGAGTTTTGACATATCCAGTAGTAATAATAGTTCAATTTTATTAGATAATGAAACTGGTAATGTGATTACTTCCATTGATACGACATCGGGGTTGACCCAAGATTCACCTCATCAGTCCTTTTTCATAAAACCACCTTTTCCTCCAACAATAAACATCGATGACTTGGTTACCTCTAAACCTAACGGTGATAAGCCTTCAAAATCAAGTAATGCTTTTATTATTTATCGTAAAGTTTATGTTAAGGAACTTCACTCACGAGGAGTAAATTTACAAATGACTCAAATATCACCTATGGTTTCTGAGTCATGGAAGCAAGAACCTGAGATAGTAAAACAAGAATATAAAAAACTTGCAGAAGCAGCCAAGAAAAGATATAAAGAAATTTGGCCTTCAAAGCCGAGACGTCGACATCAAAGAAGACAACAACCACAAATACCAACAAATCCTTCAATACGTGCTATTGATACTTCAAATTCAATTCAAACGTATTTAACAAATGAATCTTTGTCTTCTACCCCAGCTATAGAGTTAGGAGAATCTTGGGGATTATTACCTTCTTATTTGACAATACAGAATACTTCATATGATTCTGCAACATTATTAGATCAGTTATATTATGATTCAAATACTATTTCTTCTAGTCCGACAACCGCTAATTCATTAAGTGACCATAATAATAGTATTTTGACACCAAAAGTAGAAGAAAACACTGATTCACCCCATTCGACTCTATTTAATTTAATGCTAAACGGACGTCATACAAATGCAACTAATTTATCTGAATTACCTGATAAAAGAGCATATCATCAACTTATGACTAATTGGCATAAAGGCTTGAAGAGTCATGATATTCATCCATATCGATCTTTTAAAGATGCTATGACCGTTACTTTTTTCACCTCTCATCTAGTATAAACTAGGTATAAACTAGTATAATACTAGTATTAATACTAGTATACTTAGTATACTAGTATAATGGTGGTTCGATAAATTTTAAATTAGAAACATTTATTTTTTCTATATTAGGACACATATATTATATTATGACTTTAAAAAAAAACTATATGAAATCCATGTGGTAAGATGGGAAAATGTGTGTAGAAAAAAAAAA